GCTTCCTACTTCGCATTTTCCAGTACAACATTAGCAGAGGAGTAGAGGTCCGATGTACAGCCCGGGACACTATAGCCTTTTCTGCATGGGTGCTGGTAGAAACAGTTGTCTCTATGCTGTTTGGCTAGAGTAGGGAGGAGCATATCACTGACACTTTTCTGTTTTAATGGGCTGCCCCTTTGCATGTTCTCTGGCTATAAAGAACAGGCTCTTGTTGGGGCTTTCTTTGTCCCTATTGGTGTTTCCACATTTTTAGCATCTGAGGTCAAAGTCTGGATTAATGAGGCAAAAAGAAAACCCAGGGAACTTACCACTGTGTCATTCCTTGGATCATGTTTGTTTAGATACAATGTCCAGGATTCTCAGTTATACATCATACATGCAATAGGGAAAAATGCATTGTGGAGAGAGAAAACATTTTTTCTCTATGCTCTAAATATTTCATTACACTTTGAGTCCAAAATATGTGGGTTTTTCCCCACACCAACCAGTTTTGCAGTTCTCTGCAGACATAGACTGGGTATCCTGCAGTTCAGTTCAATTCTGGTGCTGTTTACCTGGCCTTAGCCTGAGATTCATGAGGCAAAGGCTCAGTCCCACAAGACAGCTCCACTTTAGCTAACAGTCACAAGTCCAGTCTACCTGTGCTTCCAGAGCTCTTTCCTCTATGCCAGAATGGCTCACAGAGCCTAAGAAACAAGTCTGTATAATGGGTTACTGGTTTATCATAAAAGGATACAAATCAGGGCCAGGAATTTAGCTCAGTGGTTCCACTTCCTGCCTCGCAAACACAAGGTCCTGAGCTCAATCCCTGGTACCAAAAAAAAAAAAAAAGGGTACAAATCAGGAACAGCTAAATGGAAGAGATACAGAGGACATGGTGTGTGGGAGGGCAGGGATCTCCCTCTCCTCCAGAGGAGACACACTCCTTAATGTGTTCACCTTGGCTCTGGACTTTTGAGAATTTTACAGAGGCTTCCTCACCTGCATACTGTTTTTTGTTTTGTTTTGGTATAGGGGATGGAGCTTGGGTCCTTGTGCTTGCACAGCAGGCATCAAAACCACTGAGCTAAATCTCCGGCCGTCTCACCTGCATACTTTTTAAGTCTTTGGCCCTTGGCAGGGACCACCACCTATAGCCCTTCTCCCTCACCAGAAGGTGAGGCTAAAAGTTCAGTCCTATGATTTCTTGGCTGGTTCCTTGCCTGTCAGCTGAGGTGGAGACTGTCAGCAGCTAGGGTTAGGTCCCTGTGTTAGCAGAGGAAGGAATGGCCGCCTTCTACATGGACTAATACTCCTTCAAGTTGTCTTTTTTTCAAATAGGCCTTCTAGAAAAGACCATAGGGAGTCTATTTAAAACATTCAAAATAGGGCTGGGGATTTAGCTCAGCGGCACCACACCTGCCTTGCAAGTGCAATGTCCTGAATTTGATACCAAATAAATAAATATAGCAAAACAAAACATTGCAAATAATCAGTCCCTCTTCTAGGTGACCTAGGATGAACTTTGCTTATTATAATATTCAGTTTGTCAGGCATGGTGGCATACGTCTATAATCCCAGCACTGGGGAGGCTGAGGTAGGGGAATTGCCATAAGTTCTAGTCTGGAGTACATAGGGAGACCTTGTCTCAATGAAAAAAAAAGGAAAGAAAGAAAGAGAAAGAAAAAGAAAGAAGGGAGGGAGGGAGAGAGAGAAGAAAAAGAAAGAGAGAGAGAGAAAGAAAAAGAAAGAAGGAAAAAATATCAGTATATCACACTCAATTCTTTGACCCAGAGGTGGTCCCATACGCCATTCTCAAACACTAGGGTAAAAAAACACGACTTCAGACTGTTCACATAGTAATGTGCCCGACCCTGCCTGCATGGTGAGTCTCCAGTTTAAGTGTGCATGCACCTGCCTGGTAAAACTCCCATGCCCCCCTTTGTCTAGGGAGACACTGTTTTGGGAATCACTGTGCTGCTGTCCTTGCCTCCTGTCATAAAAGTGTCCCTTACTCTTTGATCTCTTGGTTGTGCTTAGTGGCACTGCATTCCCAGTGTGTTCAGTTACAGTGTCTGCTGCCTTTTGTGAAAATCCTCCAGCTTTTTTTTTTCTTGGCTATCACCTTTGCATTTCCATATAAGTTTTATTATCTCCTTGTCAACCAAAATGTAACATGAACTGATGGAATTTTGATTGGCATTGACTCTGTAGACTTTAGTTTCTTTTTTTTGGTACCGGGGATCGAACTCAGGACCTTGCCCTTGTGAGGTAGGTGGCAGAACCACTGAGCTAAATCCCTGGCCCTAGACTTTAGTTTCTTAGCAGTGCTTTTCAGCCGTCACTGTAAAGATCTTATGCATATTTTGTTAGATTTATTCCTACGTATTTTATGGCTATGGGTGCTATTATAAATTATTTTTAAAATCCTACTTCTCCTTTTTTGATTGTATATACCAATCACCCTCCATGTACTTCTTAATAGTCTATAAACTCTTTTAGACTTTCTATATAAACCTGTCAGGTCATGAGCAACTAATGACAATTTTACTCTTTCCTGTTTGATTTTTTATCATTCATTTTTGTCTATTTAGACATAAGCTAAGGTTTTCCATGTAAGATTAAATACAAGAAATGGTAGTTTACATCCTTACTTCGAAAGGAATTGTCCAGAATTCCACCATTAATATTACAATAACTGTATGTTTGTTGTATATGCACATCAAAATAAGGAGTCTCCTCCTGTTTTGCTGAATGATCTTACATTTGTTATTTTTGGACTTCCATTTCTGCCCATAAAATGTTTTTTTTTGGTACCGGGGATCGAATTCAGGACCTTGTGCTTGCGAGGCAGGTGTGATGCCACTGAGCTAAATCCCCAGCCCTCTACCTATAAAATGTAAATTCTAAGTTAGATAATACAGGTAATCTGATGGGCATGGTGGCACATTCTGTAATCCCAACACTAACGATATGCACACACACAGGCAACAATATTTACACAAGCATTCTTGTTCCTTAGTTAAATCCACACAGTTTTCTGGCCACAAATTCCACGTCTATTGTCTTTTCCCACTGATCTCATTAAGTGCATTCTCTTCCACTTAATCATGTTGTCTGTAGAGGTATTTCTCCTACTTCTCAATTTAGCAAAAGACTATAGTTCTTAGAAATGAAATATCTGCCTTTAACCAGTAGTAACATCCTTATTTTATGACTCTTACTCAGTATCCCTTGTCATCAAAATTTCTCTTTCACACAGAATTTCTTGTGAAGAAAATCAAAAGCAATGTAGCGCGCACAGAAGCTAGTGGTGCCATTTACTACTTGAGCAACTCAGGGAACCTTGAATTACTTGACTTTCTTGAGCCTCATTTTCAAGTATATAAAAATACTAAGAAAAAATTTGATCTTACAAAAATTATTGAGGATTAAATGTGATGGTATGTGGGAAAATGTCTAAACTCAGTGTTGGTAAATCATATTGATTTCCCCTAATACTCTGGATGTTCTAAAGGGACAAGCCAGTTAGGACAGTTACAGTAAGATAAACAAGACCAGTCAAGTACTGTATAAAGAATTTGACATGAGAACGATTTCATGCCCCAGCATATGTGTGTACATAATAATCTCCCACCTGGTAAAGGGTAATAAGTGGAAGAGTAATAGGCTTGGAGAATTATAATCTAAATGCCATGAAAACAAATGTCTTTGGGTTTTGTTTACTGCTATGTACCCTGGGTCTAAAACGGTGTCTGCCATGTAATGTGCAGTCAGTAAATGTGTGTGTCGGGTGAATGAATGAATGAATGAATGAGAAGGTAACCCCGTTTCAGCAAAGTTCTCCTAGACCTGACAGTAGTGACTTTAGCCAAAAAGACTGTGTCATCTTCAGAGTGGCTCAAACCGAACTTAATGTCTCATTAAAAGCTCCTTGTGACTGTATCTCCATAATCTCTGGATGGATACATTGGCCTGTATTTCAGTCCATCCCCAAACACTGGTTGTTTGTTTGTTTGTTTTTTTTTTTTTTGGTTTTTGGTACTGGGGATTGAACTCAGGTCCTTGCGCTTGCGCAGCAGGCAGCGAAACCACTGAGCTGAATCCCCAGTCCTTTTTTTTGTTTTGAGAAAAGGTTTCACTTTTCCAGGGGAAACCCTAGGCCCTCTTTTAACTTTTGGAATGGGGAGATTGATTTTTGCAATAGAATACTGATTCCAAAAATTCTTCCCTTGAAAAAACCAAAACACAAAAACAAACTTTGTTAGTTCTGTCACCAAATAAGGAAATCAGGTGTTAGTGATGTGGATTTGCCACAGAAGATTCCTGAAACTACACAGCCTTTTGCCTTTTTCTCATTGACTCCTCAGAGTGGAGAGAAGATGGGTGGGAGATTTCCAGTAAGTGGGGAATCTTCCTTTCAATGTAGGTCATCAGTAGAAACCTATTCTATGACATTCAGAGACACTCTTTCCCACCTACCTTTGCACTTCTGATGGATTTTGAACTCAACCACAATAAGTAAATCGTTTTTCAGATAGTTCTCAACTGAAATAACTTTTTTGAGACAGGACCTTGCTATGTAATTCAGGTTGGTTTTGAACTCACTATGTAGCCAAGGATGGCCTTGAACTCGAGGTATTCCTCCTGCCTCAGCCTCCTGAGTGCTGGGATTACAGGCATGCATGAAATGATCCTGTTTTTTATTGTTTGTTTGTTTTCTGATACCAAGGATTAAACTCAGGACCTTGCACTTTCCAGGCAGGTGAGGAGCCACTGAGCTACAGCCCTGGCCCTGTTTGTTTTGTTTGTTTGAAATGATTCTTGTTTGTTTTCTTTATATTTTTTTCTCCTACTGGGAATCAAACATTTCTGAAAGTTGGGTTGGAACAGCCACTGTCGCTGACAAAGGAAGGCTTGGTTATTGGTTAAAGCAAGATGGGGCATCTGCAGGAGCCCAGGAGGAGCTGGAGTTCTCTACAGACCTTAACAAGCATTTCATTGGGCTTTTGTTTCAGCTCCCTCTTCCCCATTTTGGAGTTTCTCGATGGTTGCTGTGTTCATGGGATTTGTTGGAATATTTATCATTTGGCAACTATACAGAAAATGTAGAAAGAAAGAAAGAAATGATGAAATTAGTCCCATAGGTAAGTCATAGCACATAGATTATTTTCATGGGTATTTGTATCAAATAAAGAATTAATTAGCAATGGGTGGTTGAATTAGGTTTCTTATAAATTACAGTCCTCTTGAGCCTATTATTTCAGAATCTTCAAAATCGAAAGGGAGCATGAACACATGAAATGTGCAGAGGTTAAAGAGAAATGTTGGAAGCATGAGAACCAGTAACATCACGTCACCAGTTCCCACTCCTTGAGGACCCCGCCAGGGGTGGGGAGGTGGGGTAGGAGCTCCCCAGCAAGTGTGCTGTGTAAGCAGAATGGGAAGAATAAATGCGTTCACCTTGTAACACCTGAGTCTGAGTTCAGGAAGCAGGTGCCGGGTTCTCCGTGTTGCCTTTGCTTTCCCCTAGGTGAACAGCAGTCTCCAGGTGTCTAAAGCTCTCCCCAACCCACCAGCTAAGTCCAGGTGCCTTGTGCAGGAACAAAGGCAAAACACGCTTTCGGTTCTCGCTTACTGATTGCCAGTGATTTGGCAGTCGTGCAGATAACAGTCCTCCACTCTAGCTTGCCTGCTCCTGTTTTCCTCTGTCTTACATCCCAGCCTCAAGGGACCTTTGAGGTAACTGTCACTTTACAGAGAGACTCCTGGAAATTTCATTGGTTTCATTTTGTCTTTTGTTGTGAAATATGCAGAATAGTCTCTAACCTGACCATGACTCGTGTTTCTGTTTCGTTTCAGAATGGAAATCGGCTCGATCATATGAAGGTCAGTTTACTTAGCACTTCTCCAGGCTCTGAGATCTAACCACACATATGAGTCCAACGGCCAACGAGGCATGGCACATGGTGACAATACTAGCACTCTGGAAGGCTGAGGCTGGAAGGTTGCAAGTTTGAGCCCCATCTGGGCAACTTAGTGACTTGGCCAGACCCTATCTCAAAATAAAAAATAAATAAGAAAGCAGGCTGGGATATAGCCCCTCAGTCTCTAGGTTCAGTCCCAAGTACTGCAAAAAAAAAAAAAAAAAATCCGAAGACCTACAATAAGTGGAAATGAAAAATACTGATACTCTTATAGTGATGAGCACAGAGAGATTTTATATTGTGGGGGAAGGGCCAGGGATGTAGCTCAGTGGAGCAGCGCCTGCCTGGCAAGTGCAAGGCCCTGAGTTTGATTCCTAGTACCCAAATAAATAAATAAAGAGTGGGGGAATCTTAGTATTTGTTGGGAACACAAAGAGGACCTTTGGAGGGTCACATTAGGCACTCAGACTCCAGACACTGTCAGCTCTTTTGTTTCCCGAGGTGCTGATGCCTGGGCCCGGGAAGCAGCAGAGACCCCCATAGAGGCCAGGCAGCTCTCCGCCCAGAGGTCCTGTCCACTCCTAGAACACTGCTCCATGCAGAAGGAAGGACAGGTCCTGTAACCTTCCATATTTACTGATCGTCACTCTTTCTTGTCTCCAGTTCCTGTGACCCTGGATGAAGACACTGCTCACCCCCACCTCCTTCTATCTGAGGATTTAAAATCTGTGCGACTAGAAGAGTCTCGTCATGACCGACCTGAAAATCCAGAGAGATTTGACTCCTGGCCCTGTGTGTTAGGCAAGAAGCCCTTCACCTCAGGAAAACACTACTGGGAGGTGGAGGTGGGAGACAGGCCTGATTGGTTGGTTGGGGTATGCAGGGAGGACGTGATGAAGAAAGGGTTCATCCTCATGTCTCCCAAGAATGGCTTCTGGGTTGTGGAGTTATCTGGAAAGGAGTACTGGGCCCTCGCCCCACTCCGAGTCCTTCTTTCATTGCCAGAAGCCCCTCGTCAGGTTGGGATTTTCTTGGACTGTGAATCAGGAACTGTCTCCTTCTACAACGTGAATGACGGATCTCATATCTACTCATTCCCCAAGGTGTCTTTCTCTGGCCCTCTTCTTCCGATATTCTGCTTGTGGTCTTGTGATAAGAAGCCCCTGACCATCTGTCCGGTTGCAGCTGATGGGCCTGTGGAGGTCACAGTCATGGCTGATGCCCAGACCCATCAGAGACTGTTGCCCCCCATGGGGCAATAATCTGCCTCTGGAGTCGAAGATAGTCAGTAGCCTCTCTGAATGAGTGACAGTGTATTTCAGCCACAGGGTCCTTTCACCTCCCCCCTCCAATATCCTCTCTTCAGGCTGTAGCTGTCACCGTCACCCATAACCTCAATTCCTTCTTTGGAGCAGAGAGGAGTCTTAAGAAAATTGTGACTGGATTGACAGATTATAGGAGCTTCTTAATGTGTTTTAGATCAGACAGGTTTTAGGAGCTTTACCATAAAATCTAAAGGCATACAAATGACTAATGAGTTAGGAAGAGTGTGGCAGGAAACATGGTGTACAGACTAGAGATGATATTAAACAGTGTATTTTGCATGTTGTACGTAAAGAGTAAAGTGAGGGGCTATAGCTTTCTATGTGGCAGTGTTGGAGAGATTCTGGGTAGAGCCCCAGAGTAATGTGCCCATTTTATATCCAGCCCCAATCACTGTCTCCTCCTCCTCCTCCTCCTCCTCCCCATCTTTTTCCCAGGTCTTGATCAGACCTCACTTCATTAGCTCAGAGAAGTTGTCTTTTCTTCCCTTATGTATTTATTAACTCTCTGCTTGAGAGACATTTGCAGGATTGTGAATGTTTTCCCCACTTGAAGGCTTAGCTGTCTGCTCCCTAGACCCAAGAACCTTCACCCTCACCTAGTCTCCATGCTCCACCCTCACATGCCAGTCCCTCAAACTTCTGCACACCTACAGCAGCCACCCTTTGCACAGACAAGTCTTTGCTGTTCACAGATGGTGGTTCTGTAATGTGATCTGGCTCTCAAGCCTTTTGTAAGTCCTGGAATTAGTGTCCCTTTTACTTAGTGTTTTCCATATCATATTTTATCTCATTGATGAAGATAGGATTGAGTGAATACTGCATCAAGAGCTGAGCACAGCCACCCACAGAGGAATGCATTAGTGCACTTGATCCCTCTTTCTCTTGGCCAGCTGGGCACTTTGAAATAAACCCAAGAAAGCCTGGTGTGGTGATGAAAACTGGTAAGTCCACCACTCAGGAGCTGAGGCAGGAGGATCACTGAGAGTTCAAGGCCAGCCTAAAACATACCGAGATCCTGTCTCAAAAAAAAAGCCTGGGGTGTGGTGGCACATGTCTATAGTACCACCACTCTGGAGGCTGAGGTAGGTCTGTTGTGAGTTCCAGGCCAGCCTGAACTACATAGCAAGACCTTGTGTCCAAAAAGAAAAGAAAAGAATAAACCCAAGACTGGAAAGCCAGGTGATAACTTTGTGTGTCACATTCCATACAGAGATTGCAATGTCTCCAGATTTATTTAGCTTCTTATACAGTGTTATCACTCAGCCCCTGTTCCTGCTGGTGTGCTAGAGCCAGTTCATGCCAGCTTGGGACAACGGGCCAAATCATTTGGAGCAGGTGTTGCCAGAAATATAGAATAAGTCTTTTTTTCCTATATATATAATTTATTAGTATGCTACTGCTTTGTTCCCATAAGTCATCAAAAATCTGTTAAATTTCTAGCAAGCTATACTCATCAGCCTATTTTTGTTAGTATTCTGGAAATAAATATCCATGAGACTTTTAGTTGTCTGTGCTTAGCTTTATTTTCAGGAAAATTTATATTGGGTTATTGAAGAAACATGAATCTGCCTAATGCTTGAATTCCATAAGTTCAAACATCAACTTTTAGAGATAAAGAAGAGTAAAGAGGCTTAGTCAGAGACACACAGTGACCGAGCTGGAACTAAGCCAGTATCCCAGCCATTCACCAGGCACTGGGGAAACTGTAGGATAGAACAAGAACAGAGTAAACTGGTCTGGAGCCAGAGTTGTAAGAAGGATATTGAGGGAAATCCTGAAAGTTGTCCCGTTGGTTTAGGAGTTCTCACATACAGGGAGAGTCATGAACCTAGAGACCAGCTTCTGCTAGAAGTAGGAATGGGACCTGAGCACCTAAGGGAAAGATCCCTCCATCATCATATTATTTCCAGTACCAAACCTTTCCCATCTGCCTGTGCCCTTCCACAGACTTCAATAACAGCACCTTCCTTCCCATCCATCACAGGTGATGTGGTGCTTTGGGATCAAGGCACAAGGCCAGCTTCGGAGTATTCATGGTCCAAGGCCTGGTGTGGTTGAGATCTTAAATGTTCCCCTAAAGCTCATGTGTGGAACAATTGTTCCCCATGGAAAAGAGGAGGTGGGGCCTGGTGGGATGAAGGAGGTCCTTAGAGTGTGCCCTGAAGGGAGCCTTGGGCCCTGGCCCCTTTTGTGTTGCTCTTTGTCCCCACTTCCCAGCCTCTGTGAAGTGAGTGTCCTGGCCCAACCACCTGCTCCCCACCATGATGCTCTGCATCACCACAGGCCCACAACAGCCAGGCAGCAACCATGACTGGAAACTAAACCGTGAGCCACAGTGAGTCCTTCCTCCTGTGAGTTGGTTTTCTCGGGTACCATGGCACACAGTAATGGAAAGCTAACACAGGGCCATGATGTGGGGTTGTTCCCAGCCAGAGAACTTTGTTGGTCAAGACTTTCTACCTCTTCATGGTGGACCATTCCCAGTGATCAGCCAGTATGAAGCCCTTACCTGAGCTCCACGGTTCCATGGGCCACCTCAGGTTCAGAGATCATTGGGGAATGGCAGAGGTCTTTGCTGTAATTGCATTTTGTCAGCTCCTTCCTGACTAGCCTTCATCCTTGACTTCCCCAGGGTGTTGTTGCTGAGGGCTTCCTAATAAATGCTCCAAAGTCTGCTTCTCTAGGACCTTCTGAGAGCAGGATTCTCAAAAGTGTTTCATTTGAGAATGGTAGTGTTCTCGGAGATTTAGCTCAGTGGTTCTGGTGCCTGCCATGTAAGCACAAGGTCCCAAGTTTGATCCCCAGTACAAAAAAAAAAAAAAATTCCATCAGCTGAGAATGGTGGTGTATGCCTATAATCCCAGTGTCTTTGTTACTTTTCTCATTGCTAAGACAATATACCCAACACCCAAAATTAAAAGAGGAAAGGTTTATTTGACTCCTAGTAGAGGTTTTAGTCTGTAGTTGGCTGGCTCCAAGGCAGGGTGGCACATGGCAGAGGGGCCTTGCAGAGGGAAACAGTTCATTGCACACAGAAGACAGCAAAAGCAAGCAAGGGATGACCACAGCTCTTTCTATTCCTTATATCTTATTCAGGCTATTTAGGGTGGATAGCACTCACATCCTTGATCCTAGCTTTGCACCATCAATCAAACACTAGATCAGCCACCTCTGAAAAAGCCCCACTCATGGCTGCATGAAGCTTTGAGGGGACATCTAGACACAAGCATAACAGCCAGCTACTCCAGCAGCTGAGGCAGGAGGATCATGAGTTTCAAGCCAACCTGGGCAACTTAGTGGAGCCCTGTCTTAAAAAAGGCTGGGAATATAGCTCAGCGGTGTGGTGGGGTGCTCCTGGGTTCAATCTCCAGTACCAAAAAAGAGTGTTTCAAACCCAAGATGCTTTCAGGAGATCCATGAGGTCCAGAGGTCAAAGTCTTCATAATGGCTGGGCATGGTGGCATACACCTTTAATCTCAGGATTTGGGAGGCTGAGATGAAGATTACTGTGAGTTTTTGGTTAGCCAGGGCTATATAGTGAGCTCAAGGCCAGCCTTGACTACATAGTAAGATCCTGTCAAAAGTCTTCATAGTGCTATGAATTGCTGTTTTCCTTTCCCCACCCCGTAACCCCCACCCCATACTAGAAATTGAACCCAGGGCCCTTGTACTGAGCTACATCTCCAGTCCTTTTTGAGATGAGTTCTAGCTGAATTGCCCAGGCTGGGCTTAAACTTTCAATCTTCCTGAATCAGCCTCCCAAGCCTACCACACTAGGCTAAAAAGACAGGTTTGCAGCAGGACATTTTCTCCTACTTCGCTCTTTGGTTTAAGAACTAAGCTACGTGGCAGCCATATCGTCTCTGAGACAACCCTGCCAGTCTGTGGTTTTAAACTAATGAGTTACTAAAGCAATGGCTTGGTTGCTATATAATGAGTTCGAGGCCAGTCTGAACTACATAGTGAGACCTTGTCTCAAAACCAAACAAAAAGCAAAACAAACAAGCAAATCTGTTGCTATAAAGCTAAACATAGTAGAGCAGCCTGTAAACCCAGCATTTGGAAAATACAAATTCAAACTTATCCTGAACAACTTAGCAAGACCCTATCTCAAAAAACACTTAGGGATGTAGCTCTGGGAAAGCTCTGAGTTTAATCCCTAGCCTTGCAAAGAAGAGGAAATCTATCACTCTGATATCAGCCTGGTGATATTTTCATCCTGGTGCTTCAGCTGACACCGAGTGTTGTGGGCCTAGGGTGAGGGAACCAGGACATATTGCTGTGCTTGAACAGAGAACCACAAGGTTCTGAGGGAAAGGTAAATCAACAAATGAAGGAACCAGTCATGATGGTGTGTGCATGTAATCCCAGGATTCGAGAGGGTGAAGCAAGAGGATCACCATGAGTTCAAGGCCAGCCTGGGCTACACAGTGAGTTCAAGACCAGTCTGGACTATATACCACGACCCTGTTTGAAAACAAACAAAATATATATATAAATTGCTCCCCATCTTCCCCAGTACCCCTAACACAAGCCCAAATCCCATAACAAATTCTTCCTGCATATCTAGGTGGGCTCCCTGCTTCAGTAACAAGTGCCCTAGCCCTAAGTACCATAAACAGCTGGCCGGATAGCAGTCGGCTGTGGCTGACAAGACCTTGGCATGGGCTTTGGCAGCAATCAGAAGGAACGAGTTGTATCTTGGCCCTAGATTTCCATTTCCCAAGTACAGCAAGATCTCTCAGCATCTAAAGCCAATAGGAACTTCCCACAAATTTCTAAGAACAAAAACTGAAACAAAAGCATGTTCATGACTTACTGATGATTTTCCAGTAATCAGATATTCACAGAAGGGAACAGTGGTTTTATTGTACATTGTATATACGTGTTTCATCTTCCTTCCCATATCTCTACCTCAAATGATAATTTGTAGGGAACAAGGAAAGGGGATGTTATTAGAACCCCTGCAGTAGGTCCTAGTCTCCAGTGAGCAGGACAGCACAAAGCAAATTAGAGAATAAAGACAGGAAATGAGACTCAGAGAAGAAGCTGAGTTCCAGGTCTGATCGAGGGTGCTCTGGGCAGCAAAGACAAAGGCACCCTGAGCTTGCCACTATTTATTGGGTTCATAGGGAGTAACAGATGACTCATAGGGTGGCGATAATCCTGGGACCATGAGGATCTTATAATCAGAAGAAGTATCAGAAGTCTCGGAGGGTGGCTGGTAATCCTAAATTGACAAGGATCTTATGCTGATGAGGATCTATGAGAAGCTTATGTTAATTAGGACAGTAAGATGAGCAAAGACATTCTTACAACAGTAGGTGGAATGAGTTAAGCTGATAAGAAACTTGTCCCTCCCCAGGTGAAACCTTTCTCTTACTACTCAGTTCTCAAGGAACCAGCTGATGTAGTCTTGCCCTTGAGGGTCACAGCATCACAGGATCATTGAGATCTCCGCTGTGACCAGAGGCAAAAATGGAGTTATGTTTCTGCATGTCATAGCCAGGCTGTAGGCAAGAAGACATTCCACAACTCTGGGTCTCCTAAGAGGAGCAGGCTGGGAATAGGGGAGATCTTCTTGAGAGTGGCCTCACCTTGCTGGGCTGCTCCTAAAAAGGAGTCAGGAGAGGTGGCCCAGAGCATTTTCTTCTCTGCATTAAGCAAGATCTACTACAATTTATTGATGAGATTAAGATGCCTGAACTTGACATTGGGGTAAGAGATACAGGATTCCTTTTTAGTGTTTATCACTGGCATATATTCTCATTCATTTGATTATATAGATCCAAATATATTATAGAAAAAAATAAGGAAGACTACTTACTAGTCATGTTTAGTTGAATAACTATTGCAGGTCTCAAATTTTATAGCTCTTCATGTTTTGGCCACATATACATATATAGTAAAACATGATGCAAAAACAAATCAGTTCTAGTGTAAGACCGCTGTCCTTACCAAACGCTCCGAGGAGCTGACTATAGTGAAGCACACCCAGGGATCCCAGCGGTGCCTCCAGAATGTAAGACCGAGGGCCTTACCAAATGCTCCAAGGAGCTGGAGTGGAGCACACTCGGGGATCCCAGCGGTGCCTCCAGAATGTAAGACCAAAGGCCTTACCAAATGCTCCAAGGAGCTGACTGCAGCGAAGAACACCCGGGAAGGAACACACCGGACAAGTTGGAAAGTGAAAGAGAAACAGAAAGTGAAACCTTAGTCTGGCCAGACGGCACTCCCAAAGCAAAGTAGCTTAGAGAGGCGATCAGCCCAGAGTCCGAGGCTCTTTTTATAGGGGCTTGCAGAGGAGTTAACAGGTGAAATTTACAGAAGAAGGAACAAAGGTTTAGTGGTCTTACATTTGTATGTTAATTAGCCTGACATGTACTGTTAGTCAGCAGATGCTTTGTAGATTGTTCTATAGATAGTGGTGTCTGAAACAAAGGGTTGGATAATTATGACTGATAGGGATCTTATCTAGTGTCGGCAACTAAGAAGCATCTTTATCTATTTACTCACATTCAATCACAGTTGGGGCTAGGGGAGTTTTATGATTACAGAGTTATGCAGTCTTACACTAGCTTTCCCCAAAATTCTCTGAACAGTCATTTTAATTATATCCTCTTCTTATGGAGTATCGTCTTTTTCTTTCCCATACCAAGAATCAAACTCAGGACCTTGCACTTGCCAGGCAAGAGTGGCTCCACTGAACTACATCTGAGCCCCAATAATTTAGTCTTGTTTGTGATTATTAACCAAGTGCCAATTAATGAAAACATACATATGCACACAAGCCATTCCTGATTATTTAGTGACAGACCAAAATAGGTTTAGTAATAAACTAAGATAGGATATTTAAATTAATTCTATAAATTGTTCCTAAACACAAATTAACCAAAAGTGATGATGCATGAGTTCAGATTAAAGATCAGTTTTTTATAATGATGTACATTTCCTCTAAGCATGAATAAAATAAACATGGCATTTCTGAAGGATATTTGTATATTTAGGGATTTTTAGGTGAAAAGCGACACAATGAGATTTGTGTTTGGGAACAATAATTTTCCTGGCAGTCTTGTGGGTCATAGTTATAATCCTATTAAAAGGACAATTACAAAAATGGGAAGGACCTTTGTCATAAATATAATACAGACTTGTTATTTTTCATTTCTAAAAAATTCATACAGATTGCTAAGAAACAGCATCAGGACCAGTCTCAAACACAGTGGGCAACTAGCCTAGAGGTCATTTCTAGAATATATTAGTCAATTAACATGTGAAAAATGGCAGCCTCATTATCATAGAAAACACAGCAAAATACTGTAGTAATTTGATAACCTTTACACATTCCCATAGAGGTTGGGGGTTTGGCTCAGTGGTGCCACCACTTGCCTCAAAAGTTCAAAGTCCCAAGTTCAATCCCTGGTACCAAAAAAAAAAAAAAAGAAAAAGAAAAGAAAACTTTTACACATTCCCATACTGAGAATATTCTTTTGAAATAGCCCACAGTTGCTGGAGGGATTCAGTGAGCAGGGCTTGGGTGAGCAGGACACTGGAATCGGCAGTGTGATGGGTTCCTATTTCACAAAGGGCCATTGGCAGTGAGCTCATACCCTATGCCCCGATGGCTCTACTTCTGGAAATTTATCAGACAGTTAATCAGGAACAAAGACTTACGTATATGTGCATTCTTTATAACCAAAAAAAAGAAGAAACTCTCACAATTTTGGCCATTATGCAACTATTCAGGGCAAGAAAGCCTTACTGTTTCTGTGATGTAAGCATAAAAAAAAACTCAGTGGAAAGATATGCCAACATGGCACTATTGTTAAAAATATTTTTCTGTATTTTATTGATTTTTTTCCTATAACATTTAGAGCTTATCTTCAAATAAAGAATTGCTGGCCACATGAGTTGCTCTGAGAGAACTATTCTTGGGGTTTACGCTGGGCTGTAGCTGTAGCTCAGTGGTACAGTCCTTGCCTGTCATGCCTGAGCCCAGGGGACTCCATCCACAGCACCTTGAAGGAGGGGAATGTAGAGAGATATTCTTAGAGAGGCAGTGCTGGGCCCTGGAAACTGAGTCCCTCCTCTTGCCCTGGTGCCTTCACCTACCTTCTTCAAGGACGTAGTGTTCCCCCAATGTGCTCTTCTCCCTGGGAGGAAAGGGTTGCCAAGGTGAACAGGAGTCTGCTGCTGCCCTGCCTCTGTCCTTTTGTTTTTTGACCTGCACAAATACAGTAATAATAAATTAACAGCTTACTTTTTTTTCTGGGCCTCTGTTATGTGGTAAGCACTTAACCTGCTTAATCTCATTTAATTTTCCAACACATCCCCATCGAAGGTACCAAAAACATTATTCCTTTGTTTTTCTTGCAGGTGTTGTAGCAATGCTGGGGATCAAAACCAGGATGTGAGGATTATTCCTTTGTTTTTTTTTTTATTTGCTTCTTTTGAGATAGAGTCTTCTTACATAGGCCAGTCTTATATAGGCTACCCTTGAACTCTGTAGCCCAGGCTGGCTCAGGCTCTGCTTTAGCCCCCAAGTGGGATCGTTGGACACCACCAACACCCTGCTACCTTTTTGGTACTGGGGATTGAACTCAGGACCTTTGGGCTGAGCTACATCCCCAGCCCTTTTTACTTTGAGCCAAGATCTGGCTGAATACTTAAATTGCTCAGGCTGGACTCCGACCTGAGGTCCTCCTGCCTCAGCCACAAAGAGTGCTGGGATTAGAGGCAGGCACCACACCTGGTTTCATTTCTAAAACCAAAGAACCGAGGCTTTATGAGGTGAATTGATTAGCTGAAGCCCTCATATCTCATTTTAGTTTTTCCCTGGCTCTCTCACTTTTTATCTCCATCTCCCTTTATTTAGCCCACAACCCCCTAGCTCTCCATCTCTCTGGGCACCTTTCTTTTTTCCCCCCAAAAGTAAGCACACCAGGCCCCTGGAGTCAGGCTTTCAGGAGAGCACTTCCCTTTTCCTTCTGCTACTGGCTTTTAATTTTTGCCCCAAGGGCCACAACCTGCTTTTTCACTCAGTGGCAGAGGTTCCTGGTGGCTTTTCCTCCACGACCAGAACCTCGAGGGCAGTAGGTGCTGCCACTTCTATCCCTCTGTCCTCCCTCCTCTTGGGCCCTCTGTTCTTCAAACTCTTTGCCTCTCTTCAGCACCCCTTCTTGCTCATCTTCCCAAATATTTTTCTCTTTTCGCCTCCATTTTATTTCCCTTGTGTCCAATGTCTGCCTCTCTGGACTTATCTTTATTATCATTTCTAAAAGCAAATACATTATTCTATCATAATTTTTTTAGTTTAGTGCAGTGATTGCAAGATTCGTTCATTTATATGCAACGCACTAGAAGGCACTCTGCCTCACAATGGCTTTCTTGAGACTAAGTCCATCTGGGGCTGCAGGGTCACTTGGTCGTTTTGTAGGTGCCTGAGCAAACAGGGGCATGGACTGAGAATCCCCTGGAAAGGGGGCACCGAGGGGCGTTGGGGGCCAATGCAGAGTCCAAGTGCAGGTCCGGGGAGCGCGGAGCGCCCCAGCCTCACTAACTTCTTGCCATTCGCTCCCAGGACGAGGCTCCCGCGCCCCCAAACTTGGAGATGGTGACGCCCAGGCTCTCCTCGCTCCTGCTCGCGCTCCTGCAGCTGCAGGTGCTGTGCGCAGGTCGGTGCCTTTCTCGCGCCCCCTCTTGTCCTGTGGGATGGAAATATTCCGGTGAAAGCAAATGAACCCGTTCTGTCCCTAAGGCTTCTGTCTGCCGAGGTCGCGAGCGTCCCCTGGGTTGTCCGGGGAAGACCATGGGAAGGGACCTGCCCAGGGAGGGAGCCTGGCCCGTGCCTGACCCCACCCGCCCTTGGCTCGTCCCGCAGCTCGCTTCGATGTGATCGGGCCCGCCGAGCCCGTGCTGGCCGCGGTGGGGAGCGACGCGGAGCTGCCCTGTAGTCTGTCGCCCAACGTAAGCGCCGAGCACATGGAGCTGCGCTGGGTCCGAGAGGCGCCCTTGCCGGCAGCGCTCCTGCATCGGTACCCGCAGGGGCGAGCGCAGGAGTCGGCGCCCGAGTTCCGCGGGCGGGTGAAGCTGGTGGCCGACGGCATCGCAACAGGGCGCGCGGCCGCGCAGATCCACCGAGTCCGGGCCGCGGATGAAGGCGACTACAGATGCCTCTTCCGGGACGACGCGAGCTCCGGGGAGGCCACCGTGCGCCTCCGAGTGGCTGGTGAGGAGGCTGGAGGGTTTTGGCTTTCTCCGTGGGATCCAGGCTGGCTGCTTTACATTAGAAACCATTAAGATTCACTCTCAGAATCCCTTTTAGGCTGAAGTTAAGCGGGAAGCTTTGAGATGGGAAGGGTGAAAGCAAAGTGAAAATCTTTCTTATGGAGGGAGCTTTATTTCAGTTATCTTCTCTTTCCCCTCAATGATAGGATATTTCCCCGGTGAAATTAATTACATGGATAATGCAGTCAATGGCTATATAATATTATTTTATATAAATATACCATAATTTACTCAATCAGCTCCCAGAATCTGACATTTAAGTTCTGTCTATTATTGAGGCTATGCTGCGCCTTGAGATTCCTTTATGGCTTAGTCTCTAAGGACCGATTTTTTTTAAGATCAGAGAGCACAGCCCTTTGCTAACATTCTTGATTCACCCAGAAAAAAATATGACTTTATTTTCTTGCTTCAAGACAAAATTTAGGATGAAATAGGGAAAATGGTTAGCACTCTGGAAAAAGTACAAATTGAAGTTTGACTTTCCCACTTACTAGTGATTGGCATCAGGCAAATCTGCTGAGCTATTCCCTACTGTAAAACTGGGGAAACGTTTCTCCAGCAAGATTTTGCAAGAATGAAATAAAATTAGACATCACATGAAAAACTGCCTCGTTGATTCTAAAGGCATTTATATATTTATAAGATACTGTTACTATGTCTTAGACTAATCTGAAATTTTAAATATACATATATTATATACCATATTGAAGGTATCATATATAACACTCACTTCATTTTTAGGGAACAGTAGCTTAAAGCTTAAAGATGGATTATAAAAACCTAGATATTTGATAGCATAAAACTGTTGTTACCTTTTATGAATAACAGACACCTTTGAGAATCCGATGAAAGTGGTAGCCCCTTTCATGAGGTTATACATTCTCATTTATCGACACAAACTTGAAATAGGATAGGTGTAGACATGTGTTTATGGATTTTTCCATGAAAGTCAATGTTTTCCACAATTATATAATTATAAAAATGTTTTAAAAGGAATTACACTTCAACACACAGGAAAAACAGCTTTAGATTGATTTTTATTAGGGCATGATTGTATGAGGGAAGATGAGATTGAAACCATTTAAGAAAATTAAATCAGCATTGTGGGTGAAGGAAACTTAAATTATCAACAATCTCCCGGAGGGCCGGGTATTTAGCTCAGTGTTTTCGCCTGCTGCTGCTGCTGCTGCTGCTGCGCAAGCACAAGGACCAGAGTTCATAACAAGAAAAAAAAAATCAAGGATGGTGGTCACACACTCGCTGATCAAATGCTAAGTGTCTACAATGCTGTATTTGACCTGAAAAAAAAAACAAAACAATCTCCTGGAAAAGAACTTTCAGCCCTCCTTTTTCCCATGAATACTCCTCCATCCATCTTCAAATATTCCAATTCCAGTTTTCCTTCCCAAAGCCACCTTGTAATAATCAAACCACAGATCTCTTTCTCTGTTCTGGAGCTCCAGCCTAGATCCCTAATCTGCCTCTAAGTCATTATCTTGCTCTTCTTGCTGACCGGACAAGTGGCCTTATGGCTGCCCACACTTCAAAGGCTGGATCCCAGCAAGGCATCCCTCTCTGATAAGGCATATGCAATTTCTTTCACTGAAAGTTCCTCTGTTTCCTTGTGTAATGAAATATAGAGAGGAATTCCTTCCAGTTCAAGTCCACTTTTCCATTCCCCACCCCTTCTCTCATTGTAAGGCTTCCAGGAGGGTAACCACTGAAAGATTAAAGCCACCTCTCTCTCCACAGCTCTGGGCTCTGACCCTCACATCAGTATGGAAGTTCAGGAAAGTGGAGAGATCTGGCTCCAGTGCACCTCTGTGGGGTGGTACCCAGAGCCCCATGTGCAGTGGAGAACTCCCACGGGGGAGAAATTTCTGTCCACATCTGAGTCCAGGAGTCCTGACCAAGACGGTCTTTTCACCGTGGCAGCTTCAGTGATCATCAGAGACACCTCCCTGGAGAATGTGTCCTGCTGCATCCGAAACCTGCTCCTAGACCAGCAGAAGGAAGAAGGGATTTCTCTATCAGGTCAGTGGGACAGGGCTGCCTCCTGTGTTGACACAGCTTCAGGACTACAGCACCCGGGACGCCTGCTCAGGTGTGACTTGTTGACAGAGTTGTCTAGTTTTCCTGTCTACGCACTTGCCCACTGACTTGAAGGACCCCCACCAACTTTTAGCACCACCACTACCACCACCACCAAAGGAAAAAAAAAAGATTCTCAGGGCATAAAGTATAAGCTGTATCTAGCTTCATAGAAATTTATATATGGAATCTGAAGTAGAGAAGCTCTGTACCAGGGCCCTTCTTGATCTAGGTCCTTCTCTCTCTCTGAAATAAGCAAGAAGACCGAATTATAATTCTGGCCTCCTTATCCCATGTAGAGCTAGGTCTAGGTCTCCAGAATCTTAAGGGAACCAAATCTTCTCATTCCTTAGATGTGAACCTGTCCTTATTTTGGCATCAGCAAGTCCCTTTCTGTTACACAGAGATGATGTTTCCCCCTCCTTATTATTTCCCTCATCCCCTGGGCTCCCATTCTGGACTGATCATTAAGAAGGGATTTCTATGATAACATGAATTGATCCTTTATATCCTTTATTTTATATATCCCATTCCCAAACAACTCTTCACTTTTCTCTTTCTCTGCTCTTGCTTAAGATCAAATATTTCTGAAAACCTTATCATGATGTTGGAGGGATGATTTTTTTGCCATGGGAGGGGTGAAAAAACCCTAAATGATTCCCCTTCTACCACCCTGGGCATCAGGAGAAAAGCTGGGCTTGCTCTGAGTTTACCAACCCATGTCCTTCCTGGGGCTTTGTTTTAGCTCCCTTCGTCCCAAGGCTGAGTCCCTGGCAGGTGGCTGTGGCTGTCGTCCTAACAGTCTTAGGACTTCTCACCATTGGGTCCATAGTCTTCATTTGGAGACTATACAAGGACAGATTCAGAGAGAGGAAGAGTGAATTCAGCTCCAAAGGTAAGTCACAGAATGCACAGGGACACCTGTCAGAAGTGTCAGAGGGAGGTTGGATCTGCGCCCATTAGCATGCCTTCCAGCAGGAACCCAGGTTCTAGGGTTCAGATGGTTAGAAAGAAGCAATGAGGCTTCAGATACTACATGTGGAGAAGAGAGATTTAGGACACAGGCAGAGGCAATGCGTTTTAGACCTGGAATGTACTTACTGTCCACCCTCAGGCCCTACCCCCACTTCTAACTCAAGTTTTCAGTAACAATCCTATTATTAAAGATCTGATCACCATCCCATCCCCAGCCAGTAGGAACTTCCTGAATATTTCTTAGAAAACAAAACAAAATCCTGTTCTTGATTTCCTGGTAACGTTTCAATAATCAGGTGGTCATGAACTAAATGGTTCCTCTTTTATGTGTTTCCCACTCTAGTCTCATCCCCTCCTTCAGGTCCATTATAAAAGCCACTGAGGTAATTTTGTTTGTTTTCCAGAGAAACTCCTGGAAGAACTCAGTAAGTTCTGTCTTGTCATTATTTCATCTGAAAGGTTTTCTCTCTCTTATTTTATAAGAGACGATCTCTCTGACAATCTCTCTCTTTCATTGCAGAATTGAAAAAGGCTTCATTGCATGCAGGTCAGTGGCTCTGAACTTCCAAGGCCTCTGCAGCCTTCCATGTCCATCTTATCCCCACCCCCGGCCTCACAGCCCTGTGAGACTTGGGCATGGGAACACTAATGCACTTTAGTGAAGAAGACAGGACAGTGGCCTCAACTCTCCCTTGGAATCACCTAGAGAGACCTTGGGAGATGGCTAGGAGACAAGCCCCATCTGTCATGGTCCCATTAGAGACAGGTAGCTCCTATATCACCTGTGGCTGCTGGTGAGGGAGGAGCTACAGGGACTGAAGACTGTGGAGAAGCCAGGCTGTTCTTCCCAGGGGGACTGTCTCCACTCCTAGATCGCTGCTCTGTGCAGAAGGAAAGACAGGTCCTGTAACCCCCAACACTCACGATAATCACTCTCTGTGTCTGTCTCCAGTGGATGTGACTCTGGATCCTGACACTGCCCACCCCCACCTCTTTCTCTATGGGGATTCAAAATCTGTTCGACTGGAAGATTCACGTCAGAAACTACCTGAAAAAGCAGAGAGATTTGACTCGTGGCCCTGTGTGTTAGGCCGGGAGGCCTTCACCTCTGGAAGACACTACTGGGAGGTGGAGGTGGGAGACAGAACTGACTGGGCAGTTGGGGTGTGCAAGGAGGATGTGATGAAGAAAGGGTTTGACCCCCTGACTACTGAGAATGGGTTCTGGGCTGTGGAGTTGTATGGGAATGGATACTGGGCCCTTACCCCAGTCCGGACCCCTCTCCCATTAGCAGGATCCCCTCATCGGGTTGGTATTTTCCTGGACTATGACTCTGGAGACATCTCCTTCTACAACATGACCAGTGGCTCCCATATCTATACTTTCCCCAGCATCTCTTTCTCTGGCCCCCTCCGGCCCTTCTTTTGCCTCTGGTCCTGTGGTAAAAAGCCCCTGACCATCTGCTCAGTGGTTAATGGGCCTGAGGAGGTCAAAGTCATTGGTGATACCCAGGGTCTCTCTAAGGACATCCCATTGTCCCCCATGGGGAAGGAATCTGCCTCTGAGGATGCAGACACTCTGCATTCTAAACTAATACCTCTGCAAGCCAGCCAAGGGGCTCCTTAAGGAACCTCTCAGCTGACTGTCTTCCTTTGCTCTCAGCCTCTCCTCCATTACCCTTTAAGGCTTCAGCTGCCAGCTTCCCTTGCTCCTGTTTCTCCTGGCGGGTTGTGATTGTCTTGAGAAGGTGATGCTGCCACAGCTAGAGGGCGGGGAGCAGGGCCTTCCTAATCTGCTTCTGTACCAATATTTGGGGGATGGAGAAGTGACCCCTAAACTGCTTCCAGCATCTTCATATCCCTTAAGACCAGAACCTACAGGCAACTACCTGGAGCAAGCTCAAAGGACAGCTCAGGGTTTAAGGCCCTGTGTCTCCAGTTTCCCGAGTCCTATAGAACAGAGACTGGCCCAACCTCTCTAGACCTGAATAAGTGACTAGAAAGCTGAGATGAACAGGGCTGGAGTCTGGGTGATGGAGGAAAAAATCATGGCTGAAACTGGCAGGTTGTGTGCACAACCAGACCTCAGGCCTGCTCTCTGGCTAGCCCTTCCTGTCTCTCCCTTGCCTGGAGGTCAATCCAACTGACGTGGAATTTTTTTCCAATCTAATTTCCTGCCATGATATCACCTCATCATCTATCATGGTCTCAGACTCATGCCCCCTTGCCCGGTCCCAGCATCTGAACCTCTCATGTATCCCTTCTATTAGCTTCACCTGTCCCACCCTCATTTCCACACAGTGCCCCCATTCTCTGCTTCCCCACCCCAGTTTTCTGTGCTGCTCCTTGGAGTCCCCCAAGTGTGACCCCATTGTGCTCAGCACGGCTGGATCATTATGCCCCTTTGCATTTGTCCCCAAGCACTTTCCTGTAAACACCCAGACTGTCCTGCCGAGAGATTGTACATGTGTCCAGGCTCATGCTTTCTAGTTGCATTGCATTTTTCCAGCTCCTTAATGGATGTTCTCCATGGTCTTTACCTAATAAACAAGTCTGTCTGCTTGCTGAAGGTGCCTCTGAATTTTTCTTCCTGAGACCCAGTAAGTGAAACCAAAACAACAGAACACAGGAAGGAGCCTTGCCTGGGAATGCAGCTGGCCAAACAGTGCCTATCCCCATGTACAGGGCCTCACCAGGCCAGGTGGGCACAGAAATTGTTGCCTGTGAGGGTCTAATTACCTGTAGAAAGGCCACAGTGCCCGTGGCTTCCTATACTCAATCCCTTTTGGGGTGATGACTCCCTTTCTTCTACTATAAAGATAATTGGCCCTTCCTATTGGAGAAAGAAGGTGCCTTTTCAAATGAACAGCACTTTTCCAGGAGGAAGAGATCTTTATTTGTTATGCTTGTATAGAAGGAGGAGAAGGAAGAGGAGGAAAAGATGACATTTGGAAACTTTTGCTCCTGCGGGGCAACTCTGAATTCCTGCTTGAAGGAAGTTTGGTGACATGTCCACTTTCTCTGTTCTTTTGCCCCAAGAGAAAATTAGGAATAGTCACCCTAACAGAGGCTGACATGAACGGCAGTTCACTCACCCCAGTAGCCCAAAAGGACAGAACCTGAGTTTCTGAAGGTTCATCTAAAACAGTGGGAAAATTATCCCATTGTTGCACCACATTATATTTCTCATTGATGCAGTCTCTTTCTTCATTGCTGAGACAATAATACCCTACACCCACAGGTTAAAGGAGGAAAGGTTTATTTTGGCTCACAGTTTGTAGAGGTTTCAGTCCATAGTTGGTGGCTCAAAGGCAGGGTGGCATGTCAAAGGAGAAAGAGCTCAGAGCATGGCAGCAGGTAGCAGACAATGATCAAGGGAGAAGGGAGGGAGATAGACCTTTCCAGGCCACGTCCCAGTGACCCACCTCCTCCATCCAGGCTTCACCTCCCAACATCACATTTAACTATAAACCTATCGGTGAACTAATCCACTGATGAGTATCATGCATCCATGACCCAATCATCCTCCAAAAGCCCCACCTATGAGTGCATGGGGCTTTGGAGCGGGGATGTCTAAATATAAATCAGAACATTCATGATTAACCTAAAAACCAATTTTTCTAAAGTTTCAGCCTCCTTGTGACCCTCAACCAGAGGGTCAAAGAGAGAACCAAACTTTCTGTCTTAGGTGGGAATTTTGAGTGTCAGACAGGTCTATGTATTATCATCATATTCATTGCACTGTATGTTCAATGTGGCCACCATATACTTCATGACCTATCTCATCTCTCCCAGGCCCCACCTAGTTTATATCTTCATTCTGGCTTGAGAGTAAACACATATGTAGTAATATCTGCTTAATCATAGTTCCATGGAAGTATGACTAGATTATTTAAAAGTGAATCTGCCTATGCGTTTATACATTAGGAGACCACAGAGCTTTTACTCTGGGAAGGGACTAAGAGAAAAATATAAGTGAACTTTAGGATAAGAAGTGACTTCTATGTCCCCAGTGGAGCTGAAAGTGTAGGGGGCTTGCCTAGCATTCAGAAAGTCCTGAGTTCCATCCCCAGTACCACAAAAATAAACAAACAAAAAACTTGATAGTAAACAAAGTACCTACTGATGTTTCTTTAGCCTGGCACCGTGGCACACATCTGTAACCCCGCCACTCTGGAAGGCTGAGGTGGGAGGATCGTAATTTTGAGCCCAGCCTGGGTAATTTAACAATTTGCCAAGACCCTGTCTCAAATAAAAACATAAAATGAAAGAAAAAAGAAAGAAAGGGGATGTAGCTCATGCAAAGGCTCTGGATTCAACCCCCAGAATTAGGTAAGGGAAGGGGGAGAAACTAGAAACAACAACAAAACATCATCTAAACATTTTTCTCAGGCAATCTCATTATTGGCTTAAGGTAGAATGTAGAGCCTAAAACATATCTGTAAAACCTCACCCAGAATAGACAGCTGCCACAGGAACCCCACTTGGATTAAAGAGAAAAACGTCTCAGGCTAATCAGCTCTCTACAGAGAGCGTCTCTTTTTCTGTGATCTTCATGGGAAATGGCAAGCAGGCACAGTACTGACCTGTGGTAGGTTCTTAGGGAATTCCACATTCTCTGCCCTCCCCTTCCAGTCTTTGGGTACCTGCCCCAGGATGCGCTTATCTGATGGCCCAAGAACCTGCCAGAGGCTCCCTGCCCAGCCAGCACTAGCTGTCAGATCTGCACCCTAGCAAGGAGGAAGGTCTCTGACATTCTGGATTTTTTCCAAATTGCCTAAGAAGACAGGAAACATTGCCTTGTCAAGGTCTGTCTTGGTCATTTGAGGCAAAGTCAGTGATACTATGATTTCAGGAATACCAGAAGGGCCTCTTCCACCCCCACAAATAACTGAAGTGTTTGCTAATGCTTGATTTTCTTTTTAAACCAAATAAAAGCCCTTCTACTCTACCACCAAACATCAGACTGAAAGTGTTAATGCCACTAAAATGAGCATAGTTGACATCATTTCACTCTGCCTACTGCCGACTTCGGTAGTTGCATATTTAGCAGTCTCTGTGAGGTAAATGAGCCCAGACAGTTCGAGAAAGAGGAAAATAAGCTTCCCTTCTCCCCAGTCACCAGCAGTTCCTCCGTGCCATCCCTTGGCATCTTAATTCATCATCCGGGGTCCAGATGGCCTGGTATCACTCAAATCTTCGCATAGTCTCTAACACCCTGTCTGCAACAATGTACTCTTGCCTCTCATTTGACTATTTAAAATGAAAAGTACTCATTGTCCAGAAAACATGTGAAAATTTATTTTAAAAAATAAAAATGGTCCAAAAATCTTATCACCCAAATATGACCAATGCCAACATTTTTTTTTTCTGGTACTGGAGATCGAACTCAGAACATTTGGTTTATCCTCTCCAGAAATAAAAAAATTTAAAAATTTCACTCTGAGGCTGAGACAGGAGGGCCACAGATTTGAGCCCAGCCTGGGCAACTTAGTGACTTAGGGAGACCCTGTCTCAAAAAATTTAAAAATGGTTTGGGGATATACAGCTCAGTGCAAAGGCCCTGGGTTCAAACCTCAGTACTGAAAATAATTTAACTATTCACTTCAGTAGATTTAAAGTAACTATGCTTTGGTGAATGAACCTCACAGGAATTTAAAATGCTTTGTGATACAACTATAGTAGCTGTGCCAGACAAGAAGAGATTTTAAAAGACCATATGAACTGATGGAAGATAGAGTGACACAAACATGGACCATGGAAGGCAGAACGGATCTCAGTTTGATACATCCTCTTGAGACTTGGACTCTTTTGTTTTGTTTCAGGTTTTTTGAAACAGGTTCTTGCTAAGTAGTTCAGGATGGCCTTGAACTCACTATGAAGCCCAGGCTGGCCTCAAACTCACAGCAATCCTCCTGCCTCAGCCTTCACAGTGTTGGGATTACAGGCATGAGACACCATGCTCAGGTTCTTATTTTTATCCCATGTGACAGAGACTGGTAATTTCACTCACATCTGTTGCAGCCTTCTCTAAATGCATTAGGACTCTGTTTCTGGGATAAAGAGTGCACAGAGAAGGGCCAGGGATTTAGCTCAATGGCACCACACCTCGCAAGCACAAGATCCTGAGTTGGGTCCCCGGTACTAAAATTAAAAACAAAAGAGTGGCTTCTGTCACCGTGCTGGTGAATAGCAGAGCTGAGATTTGACCCCAGGCCATCTAATCTGGCTCTAGGGTCCATGTTCAGGTAATGAGCTTCAAATAATTTTCTAAGGTGAGCAGGTCCTGCACTGATCTACAGAACAGTACTCAACTTGGGACAAGTAAGAGGTAAGAGAGTTAACACATCAAGCTACTGCCAAGGACAGTTCAAGGAAGGAAAGAAGGAAGGAGGGAGGGAGGGAGGGAGGGAGGGAAAAGAGGGAGGGAGGGAGGAAGGAAGGGCAAGCTCTTCTATTTGGCCTACATAGGAATTTGCTACTAGGGAAGCTGAGGCTGGAGGATCATGAGGATCGCAAGTTTGATGGGCTCAGGATGTAGCTTAGTGTGAAGGCTCTAGGTTTGATCTTCAGTACCAAAAAATATGTGTCTTATTTACGTTGTATTTTATTCAGCTTTGGTTCCTATATTTTTTTACTTTTTATGGAAAATAGGCTTTTTTTCCCTCTATTCTTCTTAGAAGGCACTCCTCGTCACTGGGGGCCTAAGGACTGGAGGTGAATGACTTGCTTGACCAGAAACCTCGCCTGCACTCCCTTTCCTCGCTTTAGGCAGAGCTCTGGTATGTGGTGCTTCTGCCTGATTTGGTGACTGCCAGATCACTATACCAGGACCACTGCCTGGCACGTTCCTGTGCCCTCAGTGAACACTCGCTGTGTTGGATGCATGAGCTGCTCTTATCTCTGTGTCCCCCATCACCACCCTGTGTGGAGAGTGTCGATGACTACACCTGAGGGGTGTGCTCTGCTGGGCACCCAACAGTGGGGAGCCATGTCTTTGCCCAGCTAGATGTGGCCTGCAGTCCCAAGCCTTGAGAAAGAATAAAACCTGAAATCTCAGCAACCTTTCCATCAGTCCTTAGGGCACTTTCAGTTCTGGGATGGGTCTGTCCTCTGTTTTTCAGCGACACCAGCAGAGATGGTGTTGAGATCCATCCAACAGTCAGAGTATCATAGACAGCTAAGTTAGGTAGAAATATTATAGGCAGTCAGACAGGGATAGGTCCTTGAGAGAGTCAGGACAAAGGTGAAATACATCACAACTGCAGCTGGAGACACATCTGTTAGAGACCAGGCCTCAAGATAAAAATGAAATGACCAGGTCTGCATACTTCCTAAAAAGACAAACATGGGACCTAATGAAGCCTAGATAGACATCCATCACCCCGGTGGGTGACCAAAGACCTCTGAACTTCTTCTTAGAGGAAGTCTTTGCTCTTTCCACGCATGCTTGTTACATGACTTGTTTCCCAACTAGACCACTGTTACCTAAGTAATATACTTGTAACCTTATTAGTTAATCATACCTGTAACCCCATGTTGTACCCACG